GAGGCGAGAGTGAAGAAGCAGCTGTTTGCAAAGGAAGTCGTGCCCTGCCCTGCCCTGCTCTGCCAGCGGCTCTGGGGCTGACTCGGTTTCTGAAGAGCTGGACGTATAATGCTGGCATGAGCGGTGGCTGAGGTGAACCGGCAGCACCCCCGCTGTGCTGGCTGCCAGGTGCGCCTGTGCGGTCCTGCTGTCTCTTTCTTTAGTTTTTATTGAAGCCGAGTGCTGCTGAGCCAGCTTAGCCCCCACAGATGACCGGAATATGATGCCGCTCTGTGTTTTGGAGGCACAGCCTTCAGCTTCTGCTAAGGATTTCACAGAATGGTCGGGGTTGGAAGGGATCTCTGAAATCATCTAGTCCAACCCTCCTGCTAGAGCAGGATTACCAAGAGTAGATCATACAGGAACATGTCCAGATGGGTTTTGAATATCTCCAGAGACAGAGATTCTACCAGCTCTCTGTCCCAGTGCTCTGATTTATGTCTGGGTGGCTGCACAGGTGTGAACAAGAGCTCTGCTTACCATGCAGTGTCTGCTGGAAGATGTTAGGAAACTGCTGAGCCTAAACGACTGGGGGAAACACTTCCTTCAGGAAAGAGCATTTGATACAGAATACAACTTTGAAATGCAGCCCTGAGTTCTGGATTGCTGTTTCTTTATGTAGACACCTCCTGAAATAGTGAGAGTGGATATTAATGGTATTTGTGGATCAGAGGGAGCCAAGAACAGTCTTTAAAGTTTAGGGGAAACAAGCAAAATAACGAAGGCTGCACACACAGTGCCTGACCTGTCCTGTCACAGCAGAGCCTGATTTCCTCTCCAGCTGTTAAAAGGAAGCAGAGGCAAAAGACTATGTGCCAGAATTTGGTCAAGGTGGAAATGTTTTTAGGAGTAACAAGGAACATAGGATGTTTGCAAGGTGATTTTGGAAGCAGATAAGGAGAGACACTTCTCTGCTTTTTGAGGAAAATCTCATAAACAAGCCAATATCAAATGTGAGGAGACAGAACTCGGAGTTTAAATGATTTTGTTGTGATATGTAAGCAGTTATTTGTCTCAGTGAAACATCTTTAGTAGAGCTTGTGATAGGTAATCTTGCAACTATTTCTGAGTGAATTTTTTTTTAAAAGAAGTCTTGAAATAGAGTTGTTTTGGCACAGAAGCCTTGATGTGTTAGGCATTTACAAATACAATAAAAGGAATAAGCTGGAGATGTTAAATAACTTTTCTTGGTCTAGCTGACATGCATCGCTTAACTGTGGTACTAGAGGTTGTGTTTATAAATTGTTGCTCAGGAAATGGTAGTGGTTGCCTTGGTACATTTTAAAAATTGCATGTGTAATGGAAGATAACCTGCATGGCTGCTTGTGAAATGATCGTTTCCTTCCCCATCTTCAGTGTGATGACTAACAGGCTATCTGCACAGTTCTTCTGAAAACCTCGAGTTAGTAACATATAAGCCCATGAGGGAAAAGTATGCATGCTTTTTGGCTAAAAAGCTTTTGACTTAAATGCTTTCTGTGTGTGTAAACACACAAAGCTCAGTTAATATGTTTGTGGGTAAAAATAAGCAGCGATCGTTGATTACTTTCTGTGTTCTTCTGAAGTACTAATAGTAGCTCCTATTATTTTAAAAGCTTGTGTTGCTTTCACCAGTTTACCGCCCCTAAAGGGCTTCCTTACTGCAGGCAAATGAACAGTAGAATTTGTTTACTTCTAAGAGATACGAGAATAATCCCACTTGAGGAATAGCTAATAAAAAATTTCTAGTTAGCTGTGTGACTTTGAGCAGGGATATTAAACCAGGTAAGTGTTCTGTTACTGTGTTAAAAGCTGCTTTCATCCTCAGTTGGTCTGGTTTATGTATTATGTTTTGCGACTTTGGACAGATTGCAAGCAGTTCCACTTCTCAGTAGGGTTTATGCGCACATAGGCATGACATGGGGTGTTTTTTTTCAGGTTTTACTAGAAAGATTTATCTTTCCCTCCTATCTGCCATTTCCTTTTTGTAGAGTGAATCTCTGGTGGTTTGTGATGTTGCTGAAGACCTGGTGGAGAAACTGAGAAAATTCCGGTTTCGTAAAGAAACCAACAATGCTGCCATTATAAGTAAGTTAAAAACACGTCTGACAAAAATTGCAAGGTCTTGCAGAAAATCCTACCTCCTCTTTTTCTTCCCATGTAATGATAAATGTGAGCCAAGAGGCTGTTTCTTGTATGAACTTCAGTGCTTCCAATTCTGCCTGTATTTTTTAGCAGTAGAACAACGCTGTTCCTAAGATACAAGACCGCATCTACTCTTAGTAGAGTATTTGCACTTGATTGCAGCTCAGTCTGCCACTGTTTGTAAAATGGTAGTAGAAAATGTCAAGGCACAGGCATTCTGAGTTTGCAAATTTCGTAGCTTCTAAGTAGAGGAATTTGAAATTTGAGAAGAGTGCATTGGCATTGGAGAGCACTTAGACTGTGCACTTCTCTTGAGTTCAGTGATTTTGAGAAGTCATGGGATGAACTGAAGAAGCAGTATGGAAGCACGAGGTGTATACTCATGGGGGAATGTTAAAAAGCTTCATGCAGACATTGTATAAACCATTTGGAAAAAACCATTCATCTATGTTTCGTTTTGATTTATAGTGAAAATCGACAAGGATAAGCAGTTGGTGGTACTGGATGAGGAGCATGAGGTTTGTTAAATGAATTGTAAATAAGAGTATCTTCAGCCTGCAATGTATTGTTGTCTCTAAGGTACTGCCTTAGTTTCAAATTGTTATCAAACTCTTCATCTTATTTGGGTCATGAGCTTGTTTAAATGCATGGTCACTCTGCATGTAAAGCCCAGCACTATTAATAGTGAAACTATGCAGAATAAATTGAGTTGACTAATTCATTGCACAAGGGAGTTGTTTTAAAGCTGTTGTGATATAACTATGTAAAAAGCATCTTTGGCACCTGCTGGCTTTTTGAAGAGATCTGTGTTGCGTTTCCACGTAGATCTGCATATATGACTTTGGGCTGCTCTGCCATCAATTAAAAACTGGGATTGCTAATCCTCTGCAGACTCTAAATTTGATAGGTGGCATAATAAGGTCAGCCCAGCATGTAGTGTTTCTTAATGGTACATAGGGCAAAATTAAATCCTTCCCAGGGATTTGAGCATTAACCATAGCTCTTATTCCCTAGAATGTGGAAGTTAATGTAATATTTTAGTAGAACGGGGACTCTTTTTTTTGCTTGCTCGAGGAGGAAGGACTGAGTTTTTCAAAAGTGTCATTTATGTAGCTGACTTTAACAGCTATTTTTTGGTGTGTAATTGCTTACTTCTGTTTAGTGATAGAGTTGGAAACGCATCGTAGCTGCCAGCATATCCGACTAAAGCCAAAAATGTTTCCTAAACTCATTATGCCTAAAATAGGGATGATTATTCACACTAACATTAATTCTATGTTTAGTCACAGGAATCTATTAGCACACAAGTTTTCCTAAACTGCTCTAGTAGTTTTAGTGAGAGACGATTGCCAGTCCAACTATAGATGTACATCTAACTCACAGCTGTTTCACTGTTCCATTATTCTGCTGTAGCCTTCAGGGTGTACCTTCAAGTGCAAGATCATTTGTTCAAATGTTGCTTGTGTTTAATGTTACCAGGGTATTTCTCCTGATGAGCTAAAAGATGAGCTGCCCGAGAGACAACCTCGATATCCTTCTTGTGCTTCTGACATTTGGTCTTACTCACTCCTGGAAGCTGTTCAAAGTGTTCGAAGTTGGACTTCACCTTTTTAGGCCAATACTTGCCTGTCGTGCGACTTTACTGATACTTTACTTGTGAGAGAGCCTAGGGATCAGTTCTCATGACGTGCTGAACACTTGTCCCACTTGTTGAAAGACTGACTGACACTTTTAAACCCTTCCCAAGAATTTATTTTCCTTTAGACTACTAGTGTTTGGGGAAGTAAAGCAAAGCCATGCTGCTCTTAATGTAAAGAAGTGAGTTAAATGTACCGATTTTGTATGTGTCTACTTCTAAATACAGAAAGTGCCTCTGTAACCTAAGATCGGTTTTGGTACTTTCTCAGCATGTGGCTCTTGCTGTTTTGCTGCAGGTACTGATTCTGGGAGTGCTGTAGGCATGTGATCTAGGGAAGAATCCCTGTATTAAAGAATAATTTTTTTAAGTAGATGAAGTAACAAGGGCACTTAATTTATAAGTGAAGAAAATACCTGCCTCTGTTATCCTCAAAATCTGACTGGCACTATTCCACGTGCCCTTCTGAATCTTTCATTTTGTGACTGTAGCGTAGTAGGAGGCTGTAAAGCAGGAATCCCAGCTAAAACTTGAGTTCTGGTTCAGCAAAACACCTGAAACAATGAAGTGCTTAGTCCACAAAGAAAGAATTTGGCTTTTGTTAAGCCAGAAGCACATTGGTGGGTGTGGGAAGTCTTTTTACAAAGCTGGGAGAGGAATATTTGCCATGAAAGAGTGATTTTTAGCTCTGGTGTGAAACAGTACACCCAGTTATGGTAGAGGTTGGTAAAGACAGGCAGGGTCAGTTCTGAAAGTCAAATATGGAAGTGAAAACAGGAGAACAGCAAGACTACTTACCAAATTCAAAGCATTTTCTAGAATGCAAGACTTATTTGTGCCTCCATCAAGCTCTGATAACTGAGGATTATATCCTAATAAGAATAATTGATTTATTAGTTTCTTTAACCTCAGAAAAAACATTTATTGTGTATAGTTACAAGTATCAGCATGATGATGGAAGAGTTTCTTATCCATTGTGCTTTATCTTCTCCAGTCCAGTTGGTGAGTGAACATTGTGAACGGTAGCTACCATATGCTGAAAATATGGGAATGTTCTTTGCAATGGAAGATAAAATGAGTGCTTAATGTTGCAATGGTGGTTCACATGCTTAAGGCTAGATTTGTTCACGCCTCTACTGGGAACAAGGCGCTGTAAAACCGGGGCATTATTTGGAAACCTTTGGCAGAGGGGAATTTCTGGTGTATTAGCTCCAGCCTCGCCATCAGCTCATGAGAAGCACAAACACTTCCCATCTGCCCAGATCTCCTGAGCTGTTGGAGGCTTTCACTGCCTTTGGGGTTCACATCTGGGGCACTTGAGATATATGATAGCAGACACCCTCTTCCGTCTCTGGAGGCTGAACACGAGTGTTAGTTTCCTGCATAGCTGGTCAGATGTGTGTTTCTCAGCGTGCCTGCCCACTGTGGTGTCAGGGCTGTGCTCAGCCTCCTGTACAGGAAAGGAGCCTGGACCACTTGGCATCTATTCATGTAGATTTAATCTAATGTGTTTCCTGTCACCCTCTCCTCAAATCTTGGTGAATCCTCAGAATATGACCTGACAAGGCTCGGGAAATGAGTGAGGAGATGGCTGGAAGATATCAGCTCTGTTCCTGAGGGCTTCTGTTCGTCTCTGTCCATCTTGCTCTTTAGATGTTAGTGACTGGGTGAGCAGTTCCTCTCCTCAGAAGGGCCTGGAAACCCACATCTACCTGTGGAAGGAGCAGGACTCTTTAAAAGGGTTTGGATGGGGTTTGAGGGAGGGGTTTCCCAGGGGGCCTGTATGCAATGAGCAGTAACAGAGGATGCCTCCAAACAGTGCTCAAGGTCTAAAGGGGTGTCACAAGTATGAGTGAAGAGGAGAAGATAACCCAGATCTGGGCAGGTGAAAGTGCTGGGTGAACAGACTGTGCTCAAGGGGAAAGAGACTGTAATCTTAGGTTGTCCCTAGTTTATAGAGAGCAGTAGCTTCCTATGTTTGTGTCACAGCAACTCTCAACATAAACGTATCTGCACAGGGAGCTGTGTAATGTTAATAGAAGCCAAATAACCTGTGACTTGATTTGGGCTTGCAGAGCTGAATTGCACCTGTGGTTTCCATTCACGTTGTGAATTGTAACAGGGTAGCTTGCTGGTATTACTGGATTATCCTTGTTAACCTCTACAAGAAGATAAACTGATTGCATTGTTTCACTCTTTGTTACTTAGAACTAGAACAAGTAGATAGGTAGAGTTTAGCCAACAGTGAGCATATTCTCAGGTAACTACAGAAAGAATCTTTGCAAGAATGTTCTGGGTGTCACTTCTCTTCTGAAGGATAGGTATTTGGGGAGTTAGAACAGCAGTAAGAAACTTTCAGGGAGACCTTGAAATAGCAAAGCCGGTAGGCATGTAGTACTTCATAGGAAAGAAGAGCTTAGGCAATGTCATTTATGGGTGGCAGATTTTTTTTTTTTAAAAAAAAAGTATTTTCTTCTTGAGGTTTTCTATTTTAAAAAAATCTGCAAATGTAAGTTAGGGGTTAGGCTGATACAGGAGTCAGAAACAGTGAACCATCAGTTGGGGTTCTACATAGCAGTTTAATTCAACTGTGACTAAGTTACTCTGTGTTCAGGGGTGTAGGGGAGAGTAATTCTGAGCTACCAGTTCAGCTGGGATATTTGGGGAGAGATTAGGAGAAAGAACAACAAATTCAGACTGACTTGGTTTGTTCTCAGTTTGTCTCCAGCTCAAAGGCATATGCTGTAAAATCTGTGTAACTAGGAAAACCATGGGCATCTTTCAAAAATAGCAAGAGGGCAAAGAATTGAATGTAGTGTGATCAGCACACTACAGTAGTGGCAGGAGGTACTGCTTCCTTGGCTGTTGCGATTCAGGTTTGACTGCTGCGCTATTTGCTGTTAGCTCTAAGCAGGAGTGCTTGTCGAGACCCCAATTCAACCTGCACGACTGTTACCTCTGGAAATGCTTTTGAAGTACTAGATATGAAAGTAAGAGCAAGGATGATAGTGTATATAAAGAAATAGGTTATTTGTCTGAATGGAAACATCAGCTTTCAGTTTGGATTCTTTAAAAAAATTTTAAAAAAAATCTTATTTTGAAGTGTTGCAGTCAACTAAATGAAACCTCTTTTTTTTCCCACACAACTACAGGATGTAAGCCTGAACAGCAGATGATGTATGCTGGAAGCAAGAATAAGCTCGTACAGACAGCTGAACTCACTAAGGTATAATCGACTAGTTGAAATAACTGTCTCCCCCTTAAATGCAGGTTATAGAAGCTGTTTTGTGTCTTGCTTGAACCTATCGCAAGAAGGGTGTTATGAGACTTTGTAATTACAGTGAACAGATTCTGGTTTAGGAATACGGAAAAGAGGAGTGTATATGTGTGTATTTATGAAGTTCTAGAATAATAGAAAAATAGAAAAAAACAGAAAAAATATCCACTGGTAGGGTGGACATCTTTACGCTGAGGAATGAATTTCTTGATGGAAAGAATAAAGTGAAGTCTTAGTATGGTGTGGTGCAGACTAGTTTTGCTGTGTGGTTTATGGGGTTGTGTGTATATAGAATAAGTAACATGTGTGACAAGTGCTGAGCAATTCTAAATCTTCCTGTGTTTGTTTTCTCCAGTACTGAGACTGGAAGAACTGACTGCTTTCATTAGGCCTAGGGATATATGTATTAAAGCCCCCAGTGGTCATTTTGCAGGTCTTTGAAATCTTGGCTTAATTGGCACCTAGACTTGCTAAAGTTTTAATTTCAACCAGTAAAGCTAAACAGACTCGGTGGTCACTTCAGGTTTTTCATACAATGTGAAATGTCTTCACCTTTGCCCAACAGCACAATTCCCTTTTGGTCTTCCTTATCCTGAATACTTTAACATCCTGGTAAAAATGTATGTTGGGCCAGTAAGAGAACTGCGAATTTCCACTTTTAAAACAGAGAGGTCTTTTCTTATATTAGATGTGAAGTTGACAGGAGTAAACAAGACGGAAGCAGAAGATCAGATGGTGGAAGCAGTCAGTACCACACCGAGAAATCTTTTCTGTAGGGCTATTAGAACTGCATCTTAGGCCGAGAGCTCTAGCATCTGTGTCAGAAAAGCATTCCCTGAGGAGGAAGGCAGTTTCCAATGAGTGAGAAGGAAGAGCAGATGAGAAGAAGGTGAAAGCCCGGGGACTGGCTGCACTTCAGTTACTGCCATGTGTTAAGTGGGAGAAATTCTGTCTGAAAGGCTTTAGAGTGGAAGCCTGGGTGTGGATGTAGAGGTCCATCATCATCTTTGTTCTGAAGCTGGAGAAGTTAGCCTGTCTCCAGTTCAGGTTGCTTACTTACTCTTCAGATGTGCTTTATTCTTGCCACTCAGAGCTGTGTTTCATTTTAGCTCATGCTGCGACTTCCTCCTGGTGTGATTTCTATGCATGACTCAGCCCTGTTTTTTTCAGTGGCTTGGGTATTAGCTTGGCTTCTGTTAACTTGATCTAACTATTTTTTGTGGGTTTCCCCTATCTTTTACTTTAAAAAAAATAAATAAATCAGTATTAGTCGGTAGTAGTGGATCACTGTCTAAATATAAGAAGCAGTGTCCAAAGCCCACTCCAGCAGAGATTGGAATTGAGGAAGAAAAGATAAAAAACTTGAATTGGTTCCTCAAGAAGATTAAAATGGTGAAATGGCTGAGAACAGGACTAATTAAGAAGTTCCTTCCAAACAGCTGCTTCACTGAGAAGCTTGTTTTGTGAGTCCTACAAAATCCTATTGGTTCTGTGGGCCCGAGCTGCTTCTTGCAGCTCTGAACTCCATACGGTTGGAAAGGCAGATTTAGTGCTGACATAGCTTTATTTTAGGTCTCTTCAGAAGAGTAACAGCAATCTCCAGTTAAAACATTTTTCTTGTTTTCATTGCCTGAAAGAGCACTTTTGAAGGCCTATGGATTTGTAAAATTTTCTTACTTGACTGTTCTGAAGATGATCCACTAGTGGGCATCTCAAAGTCTCCAGTTAGCGATACAGAATTATCTGAGCCTCTCTCGAAGGGTATTAAAAAAAACCCCCAAACCCAAGAAGTTATTTACCCATGTGAAATATAAAGACAATATTGGTGTATTTGGTCTTGTTTTCTGCTTTAAGACTATGTTAAAGGCTTGTTTAAGACTTCTGCAAAACTTGTGTTGGTGGGTTTGGGGTTTTAGTTTTGGGTTTTTTGGTGTTTGTTTTTTTTCAAGTTTGCTGTTTTGAGTTATCCTGGACTTGTTTCTTACAGATTAAACAGTATGTTACTGGGTACTGTGGATTTATTTCAGCTGAGAGAAGGAATAACTGTGTCTTGGGCTGAGCAAAATTCTTGAACTTTGGGCTTAATTCAGACCAGAGGTTAAATTCACTTGTGTTCTTCAAACAGACAATCTTCTTGTTGAGATAACACATAGGCGATGCTGCTATTCCAGAGTAATGTTAAAATGTCCTACATGTGCTGTTCTCCATATTCTTAAAGGAAAAGAATGAAATCTAGAAATAGGAATTATGGGATTCTTGAGCTAGTTAGTAATATTCCTTGCCACTTAAGTCTTGTGTATTTCCCACCAATGTTACTTTAGAATATTAAGAAAGCACGTGAAAAGTCTGACTTGGTTATGGGTGTGTTATGGCTTGAGCAACTTGTGTGGAAAGGTGTTGTTTGCTTATCCTTTTCAAGTTCCATCACCTCAAGAATTTATGCAATTTTGTTTAGGTATTTGAAATCAGAAATACAGAAGATCTAACTGAAGAATGGCTGCGTGAGAAACTGGGCTTCTTCCATTAAGAAAACCTCTGTAATAAGTATTTATGTACCATCCTGATAATACTGGAACCCGACATGAATACTTACATCTAAAAAATGCACTGTATTTACAGCTGTCTCCTGCAGTATCTCTCTTGTGCAGAGTTTGTGCAAAGAATAGCAGGTCTGTCTCCTTGAAGTAACAAATCTTTGCAGGTGTTTCCTTATTTGTACCTGTTAAAAGGGAATACTCCTCTGCAGGGACTCCTTTTGCACTCTTGTGACTAATACTTCTATAACTAAAATAGTTCAGTTCTGGATTTATAACCATCTATAAGCATAATTTGGAAGCTGACGCTAACCTTTTCTGAGCTACAAATGCATCCTTATGACATGCTAGCCATTTATATGCAGAGATTGTATCCCGTCTCTTACTCTTCAGACTTTTTGACTTAATGTCTTCTCAATTTTGGAAACTACTCCCTGGAAGTTATTTAGTGTTAAAAAGACAAAATCCTTGTACAGCAAACCCGTTTATCTTTCCATCGAGTCTGTGTGAACTTTCTCCAATTCTTGGAGCTGATTTTTGTCATTCCAGTAATTCCTCAGTTGACTGAGTCAATCTTACTAAATTTCAGGGCCAAGCTTTGTCTGTCCAGTTCTCATGGTAACATAGTCTTATAGGAACTAGGTGATAACTAAGGGCTCAATTACAACTCTGGCTACTCTCGTACCAGATGTCTTGCAGATGTAACTTACTACACTGTTAAAAAAAGTTTACCTCTTTGCTCATTTCCTGGTATATGAACACCTGTTAATACTGTGTGCCTTTAATTTGTTAGCTTTAAAAATGACTTGAGAATTTTACACTGCCACTTATTACAAATTTGGTAAAAACTTTGTTAAAGGATCCAAGTAACATTTTTTCCTAGTGCCTAGAGTTGCAGCTGACATCTGTTTAAAGAAAACAAAAAGCTAACCTCATTTTCTCTGAATTTCCAGTCATCTACTCCGTTTGTAGGAGTCAGGAGGTTAATGCTTTTCATGGTAACGAATGATTTATGTATCTTTTGTTATAAAAGTTGGCCACACATAGCTTTTGAGTACTTTAATTACAATCTCTAACTTTCTTAACTGCTTATTGGTCAAAATTACATTCCAGATAAAGCTTTTGCAGAAGTGATAATTTGATTTTCATTACGGTTCATCTCTTGGAAACAGCAAATATTCTAATGTGAAAATAGTATTTAACTTTTATAAATGACCAGTCTTTTTACAGGTCTGTTTTATATTGAGTAGAGTAGTTGTCTGATACGGGCCGTGTTCAGCCCGTGCAGTGGCAAAAGGAGTGCTCATGTGACGGTGTCTCACTCTCTTGGTCGTGAGTGTTTGTTGTGCTGCTGAATAAGTATCTGCGTAAGAGCAGCTTCCTGTTGATAATGTACTTTAAAATACAGCTGCCCTATCAAATCTGTTCGGCGAGAAGGAATGCAGTGTTAAATTTGGAGGCCAGTATTTCATGCTGTGAAGCCTTTGCTAGGAGAAAGTTTCTTTTCTGTTTGTAAACGTACGTTATGTTAGTGTTGAAACACTAATTCCTCTAAGATCACAAGGAATTCCTTTGCAGAGGCCCTCAGTGTTGGTAAATCTCTTCTTCGTTTGATGTTACTGCTCATTTATTTGTACACAAATCTGACTTGAGAGAAGCTTTTCAAAACACGTTTTAGAATGATCCAATTAAATTGATCTTTCGATGCGGGAAAGAAATGCTTGTAATTGAAATTAAATTCCTGTGTTAACGTAGCGAACCGGAAAACCAATTTCATTTCCCTGGATTAAAAAACATGTTGACTATGAAACTGTTGCGTGATCATTCTGTACTACAGATCAATAAAATCAATGTCTTTTGTGACAAACGCCATATAAATAAGACTTTGGCTTAAAGAATAGCGTCATTCTAAGCATGCGTCTTGAAACGGCGAGGATCTTGCTTTGTTGGCATTGTGCTGAAGGTAAGGCATGTCAAAGTACAGCCTGGGTGAGAGGGGAGCTGCCACTTGTAACGGCTTGATTTGCCAAGGGGAAAACTGGATTCATAATCTTTGTTATTGTACTTTGTACACTGGTGGGCTGCCAGCACCCAACCTCCTGCCTGTGCAGATCTTCAGAAATCACTGTAAAAGGGGCCTGGCTCTCTCAGGAGGAACTGCTGCAGTCCAGTGATTGAATTTGATTCTTCATCTCTGGATCACTCCACCTCCTGCCAAGAAAATACTGCCAATTAGGGCTGTATCTGCAGTCTTGAGTTCTTTTCTTTTTATTTCAGATGCTCATTTTGCCTCCAGTTAAGGAGTTTCAGCCTTGGGTGCTGCCCCTCAAGTCTCGTAGAAAGCAAACAAATCCTGCCGACGGTTAAAGTGTACTTGTCTTGTGAAAGGTGATGTTGATGCTGCTCAGCCCACCAGTATTATTCTTCAAGCAGCCTTGCTGGTTTGAAGAGTGAGGCAGCTGCATCTCCTTCCCCTCTCTGAGCCGTGGAAGTGAGGAAGCAGCTGTAGGTACTTGGAGGATGAGTGTGCAGAGGATGTTTGCTCTTCTAGGCTTGTTTGTGGTTTTCTTGTCTTGAATACAGTGTTTTGACACAACGGTCTGCTGCTTGTTGTCCTAGGCTCCTGAGATGCAGGTAGTGCTACTACTTGATTAAACGAAGGTGTTAATTATGTCAAAATCTTTCCTGCACAGAAAATACTTGTTTTCATAATGTACTTTCCCTGCCTTATCTTTAGAACTGTATTTTCTGCACTGTTTCCCCCTTAACATCAGTGGGAGGCAAATGTTTCCATGTTCGGAAGGCCAGTGTGTTCTGACTGTGCTTAACTAACAAGTTGCCCATCTGTAATTGTACGATTGTCTTGAATTTTCAGATCTCTAAAGAGGGTTCAGACTAAAGGACAACATAAATTAACTGATGCCACCTATGGGAGCCTTTGTAGCTAAAGGTCTGAGAGTCAGCATTTTCCATTGCGAGCTCCTATTTTTCAGGAGTGAGTTAGTTGGCCATAAAATCCTTGGCCTGGAGTTAAAGATCTCTCAGAGGGAGACTTCTGCCACAATTAATCTGGTTTGCTTTAAATATTGAATAGATGGCTGGGATACAGCTCTTGTAATCCTAGTCATTGATGGTAAGCTGAATTAAAGCATGAGTTTGCATGTCAGCCCATAGAATGGATTTGAATTGTTTAAATATTTTTAACCAAAAGGAAAAAAAAATGCTGGTATTTGATGGTTTAAATGTGTTCCTGGTATCACAAATGCTGTTTTGATCTGTCAAAGCAGGCAATAATGCGGGTGTCGACACCTTTTCACTTCTCCAAAGGAGCATCTTATGCATTTGTACCAAGATTCCATTTTTGTATCTTTAACTGTAAAACAGCTAGGCCAGAAACCACGTTAGACTGGTAACAGGGTTCTGAATCAAACATGCAAAAGCAAGGGAGTTCAGTCCCTCACCTCAGTGTGTTCAGAAAAAAAATGCAACATATTTTTTTTGATACAAACATCTAGTCACTGTGAAGTGGAGGAGTGGTGGGACACAAGAAGGGGCGCAGTGAAACTCTTGCTTTTACATGATCCAGGCTCGACGCGATGCGTGCTGTGACACGGCAGGATTGGCACCAGTGCTGCGGGTGGTGAAAGGTGCGAGAGGTTCACAGCCAGTTTTGAGAATTTTTGGCAATTCCACAAAATTATCCGTAACCAGTACAACTTCCATATGCTGTTTAGTCTCTGCTTGTTCACATTGCATGTTTACTTTAAACCAAATTTTTTTTGCTAAGCATGGTGCTTGTATTGGTTTAAATAAAACATTTAATTAAGAGGTTCTGTTGCCCTGTTTTAATTGCAAAATAGCACATCCAGCCTGGGTGTCTCACGGGGGACAAACTGTTAATAGTAGGTGTGACCTTTCTGCTTTTCTCAGCTTCCTGGAGTCTGCTTTGGATTTGTATTTTCAGTTTTGAATGTGCACTTGCTCTTCTACCTAAAATAATCCTTCCTTCCATCTGCTGTGAAGGGTGCCAGCAAGTGAGAGGAGAGGGCAGCAGCTGACGGAGTACTGCGAGGTGACTGCCGCCCTCCTCCACTGCTTTGCACCTTTGCATCCCAAAACTCGGTGTGTGTGCACTTGTGAGCTGTGAGACGGCGCGGGGGCTCGGTTTCCTTCTGAAATGCCACTTTAGGCTTCTGTGTTGCACACCTCCCACAAAGTCAAGGCTCCCAGCGTAACCTCGAGCAATGATACGACAGTGTAGGGAGCAGGTGCCAACTGAGCAATGTTCGAGCAGTTTTTAAGGAGACCCCAAAGCTTGAGGGACTCAAAGCAACTAAGTTTTACCTTCTCCTTCTCTTGGTCATTGATTTCTCTCTTTGCTGCCCAAGAGGCCACTACAATGATATGATTGAAGCCCTCCTTTTCCTCATTCTTGCTATTTTTTCCTTTCCTGATCTTTGGAGCTTATTTTTTTTTCCTACTATATTGCTGAAAGAACTACAAAAGATAATCCAAGAAATTCAGCTTTGGCAGCTGATGTTCATTGTTTCTGCTGATACTGAAGAACAGCATTAAGGGATCACAGATGAGGTAGAAGTAACCCCCTTCTCTTGCAGGTGAGAGCTTTGCAAAGGAGAAAATGCACAGCTGCTTCTGCACATCTGGCTCTTGAATGGCATCTTCATTGCTTAAGCATGTTGAAATAAAATCTATGGCTAAAAGCTCAAAGAAACCCAAACAGCTAAGCTGCTGTGGGAAAAGAATCGTTCTCAAGAACAGCTGATTAAAGGGAAGGAAGTAGGGAAAAAGGGATGAATAGCTCTTACATCTGAGGTGGGGTGGCTCACCTGTGGAGTCCTGTGGCATTTTCTGTGGTTCATTGAACATGCTTAACTAGTAAGTGAGGTAATAAGTTTACTGGTGCTGCTTGATCATTGAGACAGTAAAAACAAAAGCTGACTGAAGAGAATTGCAAGGAGATCTGGCAATATGTAGTGAAGGGCAGCTGCTTTCCTTCAGGAAGGGTCATTGACTTATAATAGTTATGTGAAAAGGACAGTTGAGGAGTCATCAAAGTCAAAGCTAGGGAAGAGGAAAAATGAAAAATCCCTGTGCAGAAGTACAAATCTGCAATGTAGAATCACAGAACAGTTTTGGTTGGAAGAGGCCTTCAAGACTGAATCCAGCCTTTATACCTGTAGCCTGAGTGTCACACCCACCTGGGGCTTTCTTTTGCAGGTGTGTGGCTCGATGGCTTGCCCAGGGCTGGGAGGAATTTGCTAAGGAGCTCTCTTGACTCTGCAGAGTCTTTGGGGATGGTCAAGAGGTGCATCACGAGGTGTGTGGGCAGCAGGTCCAGGGAGGCGATTTTCCCCCTCTGCTCCACTCTGGTGAGACCTCACCTGGAGCGCTGCGTCCAGTTCTGGAGCCACAGCACAAGAGAGATCTGGACGTGGTGGAGCGTGTCCAGA